TCATTGGGACAAAGTTTAGAGTTTCTAGCAGGAAGGTAACACAGTGATACTGTCTAAAGACTTCTCTCCAGAAGGACTATCAGACTAAGAGAACCTCTATAAGAATAAATGTCAGTATTAAATTAATGTTAATTAAATTGATGTCAATGCAAATCTTTTTAAAGATTTGCGAAAATTACTTCTGTGAAAATGAAATTAATACGGTACAAGATGGCATAAATTTGCAAAAATGAAATCCACAAAATAGATTTTAAGGCAAATTACAGCCCTTGAAAAAAGGTGCCCTGTGGTATTGTATTTGCATTGCTTGCATGTTGTACAGATCACTCTAATATAAAGAGGAGACTGAGGAGTGATGGTCTAAGAATTATAAAAATGATGTACAATCAATGGTCCGGCTAGCGAAACTAATAATCAACATGATCGTAACATGTATATATGCTTGAATGTACCAAATAATGTCAGGAATTGCAGGCTACATTTCCTGAGAATCAAGTATTACATACAGCCCATACTAACAAGGCTGTTTATGATTAGACTCTCCATCATTTGCAAGATCATTTAAAGCTAACAGCACCACTGAAACACCTCCAGTCCATACTAGCTATAGCTACAATGGATCATGGCTCATTGTTCTTCATACTCTTAGTGTTACTGTCAGTTACTGGAACTGAAGGGTCTTATTGTATGGCCAGTGATTGTACTAATACTGGATCATATCAACGTGGTGGGGGACTAGCACTGTATCTAAGAGTATGCTGTAACAGCAGTAACTTAGGAGAGTCTGTTACTATCAGAGACCATGGTATTAATAGATACATTCTCTGTCCTAAAGTACTACCAAAGTCCTGTCCTGAGGAAGTACAAAAGTCTTGTCCTAGTGTAGTACCATCAAACTCTACTCAAGGTACATATTATACTGTAATAAAGTCAATAGATCAATCAGACCTAAAGAGCATGCACAATAGGTAGCTATAGTACAACAATAGGTGGCAGCTGTATATCACTGTATAGGTGTTTATAGAATGTCAATGGTACAGTACTTAATCAGTAGCAATCATTTTCATGCTTTATGCTCACAAAGAGCACTCATATCATGCAATAACTATCATTCCTCTATGCATTATAGCACTTCCAGACTGTGAGGATTGGTATAATAATGGTAATACTACTAGTGGTGTTTATACTGTTAATCCTGATGGAGGAACTCCATTTGAAGTTAGTTAAAAGTAATTTATAATTATACACTATTGGATCACAGGTATACTGTGATATGGAGACTGATGGTGGTGGATGGACTGTATTTCAGAGGAGACAAGATGGATCTGTTGATTTCTATAGGAACTGGACTGACTATGAGAATGGATTTGGTTGTCTTACTGGTGAGTTTTGGTTAGGATTGAGCAAGATTCATCGTCTTACTAAAGAAGGATCAAACACACTAAGAGTGGACCTGGGAGACTTTGAGGGGAACACAACTTATGCTAACTACTCTACATTTAATGTTAGTGATGGTAGTACTGAATATATACTAACAGTAGGAGGATACTCTGGTACTGCTGGGGATGGTCTTGCCTGGCATAATGGAAGGAGATTCACTACAAGAGATAATGATAATGATCTCAGGTCAGATTATAACTGTGCTCAGCGGTACACTGGTGCCTGGTGGTATAATAATTGCCATTCTTCAAATCTTAATGGTCATTATTTCAACTCAGCAACTCTTAATTCTCGAGGAAATACTTGGTACTATTGGAAAAATATACACATTAGTCTCAAGTTCACAGAGATGAAAACTCGTCGTAACAATTAAATACTGTCCCCCACACACATAAGTGTGTTTACATTGTGCTGATATATTATTATGTCATTTCAATATTACAGTCTGTCATACCTTGTAGTGATTATTAATAATTATTAACCATTGACTTTATTAATTATTAATCCCAACATAATGTCAAACTTATAACGTCATATTTTAAATTGCTTCAAGATATCATTCTCTGAAGTCTTAAACAGTCAGGTTCAGTCAGTATTTCAGTTTTAATGTACAGACTAAAGGTTAAATGGAATCACATTCACATGTTCATCATACAGGATGAATACTACTGGGTTACTATAAGTTCCTATGCACTAAATCCTGACGTGATACTATCAAGAGTAGATAAAAATTAGAGGAGAGTGTCCTACCGGCTTATGGTCTGCTTCATTACCGCGTAGAAATGGAAAGTCGCATTCTGGTTATTTGCATATTTTATTTGAGTAGCTATTACATATGTATTTTGAGTAGTTATTGCTAATTATTTTTGAATAACTACTTAAAAATACAGAAATAACTGGAATGTGACTTTCCATTTCTACACAGTGATGATTGATGAAGCAGGGGTATAGGCGACAGTAGGACACTCTCCTCTAATTATTATCTACTTTTGCTACTATACATGTACATGTACATAGATGTACATGTACATGTACAGGTACATGTACATACATGTACATGGAAACTTCTAGTAACATGCATGTACATGTATGATGTAAAATGCTACATGATAATATGTACAGCTCCATTTTAGTTACCAACGCTACAGTGAACACTTTAATTAAGCACTTTAAAGGTTCTTCACTAAAATCACTGAAACCAGTATAAACAATGGAATGACTGCAGAACTTAAAGTACTGCTGTAGACTGCTGTACTCTGGTACTGCTGGGATAGTCTGGCCTATCATAATGGAAGGAGATTCAGTACAAGAGATAATGATAATGATGTCCATGGAGGAGGTAACTGTGCTCAGTCCTACACTGGTGCCTGGTGGTATAATAACTGCTTTCTTTCAATTCTTAATGGTCATTATTTTAATGCTTCAACTAATGGTGAGCAAGGAATTGTTTGGTACTACTGGAAATATGCATTCATTAGTCTCAAGTTCACAGAGATGAAAACTCGTTGTAACAATTAAATACTGTCCCCCACACACATAAGTGTGTTTACATTGTGCTGATATATTATTATGTCATTTCAATATTACAGTCTGTCATACCTTGTAGTGATTATTAATAATTATTAACTATTGACTTTATTAATTATTAATTCCAACATACTGTAATGTCAAATAGCATCATATTTTAAATTGCCTCAACATATCATCCTCTGAAATCTTAAACAGTCAGGTTCAGTCAGTATTTCAGTTTTAATGTACAGACTAAAGGTTAAATTGAATCACATTACCATGCTCATCTTACAGGATGAATACTACTGGGTTACTATAAGTAATAAGTTCCTATAATACTAAATCCTAACATAATGATACTATACATGTTTCAATGTACATGTGCATACATGTACATGTATGTAATATCCTACATAATGTGTACAGGTCCACTTTTATTACATTTTAGTTACCAATGCTACTAAACACTTTAATTTAGTGCTTTAAAGATCCTTCACTAAAATAACAATGATGTACAATGAGTATAATCAACATGTCCATAACATGTCACTATATACTAGCATGCACCTCTAATCATGTTAGATATTGCTTCTATCACAGCAACACTTGATAATATGAACATTTCCTCTTTTCTGAGAATCAAGTATTACATACAGCCCATACTAACAAGGCTGTATATAATTAGACTCTCCATCATTTGCAAGATCATTTAAAGCCAACAGCACCACTGAAACACCTCCAGTCCATACTAGCTATAGCTACAATGGATCATGGCTCATTGTTCTTCATACTCTTAGTGTTACTGTCAGTTACTGGAACTGAAGGATCTTATTGTATGGCTAGTGATTGTACTAATACTGGATCATATCAACGTGGTGGGGGACTAGCACTGTATCTAAGAGTATGCTGTAACAGCAGTAACTTAGGAGAGTCTGTTACTATCAGAGACCATGGTATTAATAGATACATTCTCTGTCCTAAAGTACTACCAAAGTCCTGTCCTAATGAACCACAAAAGTCTTGTCCTAGTGTAGTACCATCAAACTCTACTCAAGGTACAAATACTGTAATAAAGTCAATAGATCAAACAGACCTGAAGAGCATGCACAGTGGATAGTTATAGTACATAATATAGGTGCATAGCATAGCAATGCACTCGATGGTACAGGATCTAGTCAGTAGCAAATATTTTTATGCTTTATCTCCCAAAGAGCACTCCTACTATTATTACTCTATGTATTATATAGTTCCTCGAGACTGCAAGGATTGGTACAATAATGGTAGCACTACTAGTGGTGTTTATACTGTTAATCCTGATGGAGGGACTCCATTTGAAGTTAGTTAAAAGTAATTTATAATTATACACTATTGGATCACAGGTATACTGTGATATGGAGACTGATGGTGGTGGATGGACTGTATTTCAGAGGAGACAAGATGGATCTGTTGATTTCTATAGGAACTGGACTGACTATGAGAATGGATTTGGTGACCTTACTGGTGAGTTTTGGTTAGGATTGAGCAAAATTCATCGTCTTACTAAAGAAGGATCAAACACACTAAGAGTGGACCTGGGAGACTTTGGGGGAAACACAGCTTATGCTAACTACTCTACATTTAATGTTAGCGATGGTAGTACTGAATATAGACTACATATAGCATTTGGAGGATATTCTGGTACTGCTGGGGAAAGTCTGTACCGGCATAATGGAAGGAGATTCAGTACATATGATAATGATAATGATGACAATGTAGATAACTGTGCTCAGGCCTACACTGGTGCCTGGTGGTATTTTTTTATTGGCTGCTATGATTCAAATCTTAATGGTCGTTATTTTAATACTTCAACTAATAATGGTGGTGGAATTAGGTGGAACCAATGGAAATCAACTACTCTCAAGTTCTCAGAGATGAAAACTCGTCGTGACAATTAAATACTGTCCCCCCCAGACATGTGTTTACATTGTGCTGATATATTATTATGTCATTTCAATATTACAGTCTGTCATACCTTGTAGTGATTATTAATAATTATTAACTATTGACTTTATTAATTATTAATTCCAACATACTGTAATGTCATATTTTAAATTGCCTCAAGATAACATTCTTAGAAATCTTAAACATGTCAGGTTCAGTCAGTATTTCAGTTTTAATGTACAGACTAAAGGTTAAATGGAATCACATTCACATGTTCATCATACAGGATGAATACTACTGGGTTACTATACATTCCTATACACTAAATGGTGACATGATACTATCAAGAGTAGATAATAATTAGAGGAGAGTGTCCTACCGGCTTATGGTCTGCTTCATCACTGCATAAAAATGGAAATTCGCATTCCGGTTATTTCCATATTTTATTTGAGTAGTAATTACATATGTATTTTGAGTAGTTATTGCTAATTATTTTCGAATAACCACTAAAAAATACAGAAATAACTAGAATGTGACTTTCCATTTCTATGCAGTGATGATTGATAAAGCAGGGGGTATAGGCGACAGTAGGACACTCTCCTCTAATTATTATCTACTTTTGTTACTATACATGTACATGTACATAGATGTACATGTACATGTACAGGTACATGTACATACACGTACATGGAAACTTCTAGTAACATGCATGTACATGTATGATGTAAAATGCTACATGATAATATGTACAGCTCCATTTTAGTTACCAACACTACTGAACACTTTAATTAAGCACTTTAAAGATCCTTCACTAAAATCACTGAAACCAGTATAGACAATGGAATGACCGCAGAACTTAAAGTACTGCTGTAGACTGCTGTACTCTGGTACTGATGGGGATAGTCATAATGGAAGGAGATTCAGTACAAGAGATAATGATAATGATATCCATCAAGGTAACTGTGCTCAGTACTATACTGGTGCCTGGTGGTATAATAACTGCTTTCTTTCAATTCTTAATGGTCATTATTTTAATGCTTCAACTTATAATAGTCAAGGAATTGTTTGGTGGTGATGGAAAAGTGCACATATTAGTCTCAAGTTTACAGAGATAAAAACTCGTCGTAACAATTAAATACTGTCCCCCACACACATAAGTGTGTTTAGATTGTGCTGATATATTATTATGTCATTTCAATATTACAGTCTGTCATACCTTGTAGTGATCTCCACTATATAAACTTGTGGCTGTGCCTTTGATACACCCACACACTATCATACAAACATTAATTAGAGCATGGCTTCAAGGGGAGTACCAGTATAGTATCAGGGATATACTGAAAATGATATTCATAGTCCCAAGGGCAGAGCCTAACCAGAGGGACTATGAATATCATTTGAAGTGTATACCAGATACTCCATACTCTAGCTGGCTTGTATCCAGGGAAGCCATAAGATGCAAGGCATAGAAAAGATTAAAGTCATTAGTAAAAAATAATGTTGAGCTTGCTGTGGAAGACGAGATAGAAGATACAAATAGCAATCCTCCAGACGAAGAGCAATGCTCCTTACGAAAGGATCTCGCCTGAGCAACATATTGAAGTCAGTAACGCTTTGATGTCACATGGAAATGATGACACTTTCTTATTTAGAAAGAAATGTACAGGAAAAGAAGAAAGTGAAAGTTTCCAACACTGTACAATTATTATGTCACAATCAACTTCATTTATTTTATGTTCATTTAATAATGTTACTTCCTGTTGTGTAATACATTTCCCTGGTTCAATATATACTAGCCACTTCCTGTGGAATATATCACGTACAGTCTAGTAAAATGTCAAAGATGTTCATCTTTATGTTGTTGTTGCTGTGTTTAATAGTTACCATTGATGAAGGAGAAGGATCTCATTGTATGGCTGATTGTACTGGATATAATAAACACAAACCATCACTGTATATAAGGACATGCTGTATCATTAGTAACTTAGGGCAGACTGTTACCATTAGAAGAATTGGTATAACAAGATATATTCTATGTCCTAAAGTACGACCAAAGTCATGTCCATCAGGTACTGTATATAACTGGAATAGTTCATGATATACTTATTGTAGATAATAGAGGCTGTAAGAGCTTGTTTGAGACTGGTTTTGATATAAGTGGTGTTTATACTGTTAATCCTGATGGAGGGACTCCATTTGAAGTTAGTTAAAAGTAATTTATAATTATACACTATTGGATCACAGGTATACTGTGATATGATTAGGAAGATACCAATATAACTGGTAATTTTCAAGGGGTAGCATTAATTTTGGTAAGTTAGCAAATGATTTCTAGTGATTGGCTGGTTCTAAGGAATCAGTTAAGAGTCTAATAAGGAGAGCAATGGTCATTGTGGTCAGTGCATTTTATTCATAGGATACCAAAATATATTTTATAACTAGACGAATGTAAAACATTAGTGCTCCACCCCCAGCTACACTATCATGAAGATGAGATTATTTAACTTTAAAAATAGTCAGATGATCCTATACTGCCAGTACATACTGACTCACTTCATCAGTATAGGGCTTCGCCTAATTAACAGTAATTAACAGGAATAGGAGCTTAGAAATACTATAAGGGATCAGTTACAAGACCTAATGTAAACAATTACTATGTAACTAAGAAATAAAAAAGAGGGAGGAAATTTAATAAAAATTTCAAAAGTCAACAGTAGCCATAAGAAGGTAGCTTTAAATTCTGGTCCTTGTCAAACTCCCGTACAGTCTAGTAAAAGGTCAAAGATGTTCATCTTTATGTTGTTGTTGCTGTGTTTAATAGTTACCATTGATGAAGGTAAAGGATCTTATTGTATGGCTGATTGTACTAAT